TGTTTTTCAGAGTCCATCGTCTCTCATGGTTCGTCTCCCCCTCCGACTTACTCCCCTTCATTCTTCCCCTCCTGCTATCTTCTTCTTCTTCTTCTTCGAGTTCCTGATTTTTTTTAAAAAAGTTTTAGCCAGGTTAGAAAATTCAAACCTTTTAAATTGCTTTGGCTGCTGTGAAAATTCACTGCAAACCGAGTGGTTTAATACACATTTGCCAGCTCAGTTCTAGAGGTGAGGAGCCCAGCAGATTGTGCCGGTTCCCCTGCATTGGGTCCCACCAAGCCAAAATCAAGAGCCTGAGCGCCTCTCTGGGGGCCCTGGGGGAGGATGTGCTTCCAGGCTCATTCGGGTAGTTGGCAGAATTCAGTTCCATGCAGTCGTGGAATTGAAACCTCCACTTCCTTGCTGGCTCCGGGAGTTGTTCGCAACTTCCAGAGGCTGCCTGCATTCCTTGGCTCCTGGCCCCTTCCATCTCTGAGCCAGCAATGGTGGGTTGAGTGCCCTTCACACTCTGAATCTCTCTTGCTCTTTTCCTGCATCTCTCAGACTCCAGCCAGAGAGGCTTCTCTGTTTTTAAGGCCTTGTGTGATTAGATTATCCTGCTAGGGCAGTCTCCTTATCTTGAGGTCCATAACCTTAACCACATCTGCAAAATTTCTTGTGTCATGCAATACAACATATTCATAAATCCTGGGAACTAGGGTGTGAGTGTCTTTGGGGTGGCCACTATTCTGCCTAACACTCTAAGTTTTTATGTTAATCATTTTTTATCACTTTTTTTCCTGGACGACAGTGTGCCTTTCCAAGCTGTGTTTTAGGCAGTTTTTAATCCTTTTTCACATATTTTATTTCTGAACCCTTTTTCTGTTTGTCATGGATTGGAACCTCTACTTGAAGAATCCAGGTAACTTCAGTATCAGATTCTTTAGATTCTCTCTCACTTTGTCTCTAAAAACTGCCATTTTAAAAAGTCCATTTTGGGGGCATCTGGGTGGCTCAGTTGGTTAAGTGTCTGACTTTTGATTTTGGCTCAGGTCATGATCTTAGGGTTGTGAGATCGAGTCCCACGTCCAGCTCCACACTCAGTGCAGAGTCTGCTTGAGATTCTCTCCCTCTCCTTCTGCCCCTCCCCGTGCTCATGCCCTGTCTCTCTCTCTCAAATAAATAAATAAATCTTTAAAAAAATAAAAATTTAAAAATTTAAAAAGTCCGTTTTGGAGAGGTGTGATTTACATACAGTAAACCATGTCTATTTAAAGGATGAGCTTTAAGAGGTGGAAACAGCCCTACAGCCGCAGCCTTGGGCATGATACTGAGCACTTCCATCACCCCATCCTCTCTGCAGCCTGTCCTTCCCCTCCACCCCTCCAATTGCTCCAGAAGCTTCTCTCTCTCTCTCTCAGCACTGTCAAGTCCTGCCTGTGTCATCAATCTGATCATCAGCCTTGATTCTTCTGTGTTTTCCAGGTTCTGAATTCCCGATGAGACTAGGAATCATGTCCTTAAGCTTCACAGTTTATATCTTCAGCTCCCTAGTTTCCCATTTTATTCTGTTGTTTTATCATCTCGTGTCTAAACTCTCATGGTAGGGAAGTGCTATTCTAAGTTCTTCTGCCAAGCACAGATGTAGGGAACGTGCTCTGTTTCTCTGGTTGTGTTTTGTGCAGACATGGTGCTTCAGACGTTTTCATGCGGCTCTGTTCCTTTTTCTATCCTTAAAATTCTTTTTCTGTGAGGGAAAAACAAAACAAGACTCAGAACTGTATGAACACTGTAATATCTTTTGTTTAAACAATAATAGGAGCCCCTGGGTGGCTCAGTCAGTTAAGCATCTGACTTCATGATCCCAGGGTCCTGGGATTGAGCCCCACATCAGGCTCCCTGCTCAGTGGGGAGCCTGCTTCTCCCTCTCCCACTGCCCCTTACCGTGCTTGTGTTCTCTCTCTCTGTGTCAAATAAATAAATCAAATCTTTAAGAATAAATAAATAAATAAACAATAATAAATTTGAAATTTTTTTTAAATCCTCAGAAGAAAATCATGCTAGTTTATGCCTAAAGTTTGAGTTACCATAGCTTTTCTTTTTCCCTCTGAAATCACTCATGGCTAATCTGGACAGCCCTCAGATCTGATTTTTAAGAGGACCCTTAAAAAGACCTCTGAAAACCAGCTTGAAACATCCCAGTTGCCTTAGGAAAGCACTGGACGCAACCATCTTTTGCCCTGTTGGGAAATGAGGTGAGCCCTCTCTCCTGCCCCGTATTCTGTCAGGGTTCTGGATCACAGGAGACCCAGGAGTCCAGCCTGAATGAAAAAAACCGACTTCTCATTAAAGCAAAATCCCAAATTTTAAGTTTTTATTACTAAGGAGAAAGGAAAGGAGAAAAGCAATGACCGTAAAAGTACAGTACACACAAGGTTAGAAAATTCAAACCTTTTCAAGCTACAAATAAGAAGTGGAAGCCCCCCCTTTACACTCTAGACCCTGACACATGGAATCACTTCCGGAAAAGAGGAATCGTACGGGAATCAACGAATGTAGACGTATGTGCTATAGATACACAATTATATAATATATACACTACGTATGCATATGTATACCTGTGTGTATTTAGACAGAAGATCATAGTATATGAACTACCCCATACTTACTTCATTTAACTGTCTCTAAGAGGAGGCTATTCCTGCTCAATTAATATAGACCCGCACCCTTAAAAAAAAATATTTTATTTTAGAGAGAGAGTGAGTGGAGAGAGCGAGCGAGCACAAGCAGGCTTGTAGGGACAGAGAGAGAGGGAGAGAGAGAATCTCAAGCAGACTCCCTGTTGAGTGTGGAGCCCAATGCAGGGCTTGGTCTCACGACCCTGAGATCATGACCGGAGCTGAGACCAAGAGTCGGACGCTCAACCGACTATGCCAACCGGGGGCCCCATGCCCACCTCCTTCTTTTAAGTGACCTCATATTATTACATTGTATGGATTCCTTGTCTTAAATTTTTTTTAAAGATTTATTTATTTATTTTAGGGGAAGGGCAGAGGGAGAGGGAGACTCTTAAGCAGGCTCCACGCCCAGCACAGAGCCCAACTCGGGGCTTGATCCCACGACCCTGAGATCATGACCTGAGCCGAAATCAAGAGTTGGATGCTTTCTAGTTGTACTGGGGAAAACATCAAGGGAAGAAAAGAGCATTGTGCAAATATTATTCCAGTAACTCCTCCATCCTGGGAGGTTGGGCAAGCCCCCTCCTGGCCTAGGAGGGCTAGGAGAGGGAGAGAAGGAGTTTTCCGCTAACAGTTTTCAACACAATAAACAAAATTTGGGGGGTTTACTGGTAGTTCTTTCCTGGGCTCATGCATAGCAATGGTGTTGTATTCTGCTGAGTGGAATGTACTGTTTTGGACAACTGTGATGATGTGTTGTCCGTGGAGAGAAGATTGGAGGACTCGGAGAGACCCTTATTACCCTATCTTTCTGAGATTTTGAACATTAAGCCTTGGAACTACATCTTAATCATTTTCTGAAGTGACTTAGTACATTACCCTGTACATAGGGGTCTGTATCCACTTAAGCATAGGAAATGATGCACACCATATTCCCTCATAGCATTTATGGTATGCGTTCATATATCATAGTCTTCAGGAGGGTTTTGTAGTAAATTAACCCATTTAACGGGACTGCACCCACAGTTCCCCAGACTTATTCTATTACTGAGCTCTTCCTTGTCTAGCGCTTGGGAGTGTCTCATGATGTAAGTGTTGCTTCAGGATATCTTGAATACCTGTGTCCCTCCTGAATCTATGCTTTTAAATTCAGTGCAGGAATCAGCAAACATCTTCTGCAAAGGCCCCGACATTAAATATTTTAGGCTTTGCTGGCCAAACAGTCTCTGTTGCAGATACCCAGCTCTGCCATGTAGCACAAAAGCAAGCAGAATTTATGCCATTCACAAAAATGTTACCCTTTTTTCCCACCCCACGTGATCCATTTAAAACCATCAAAATCATTCTTAGCTAGTAGGCTGTAGAGAAATAGGTGGGCTGGAACTGACCTGTAGGCTGTAGGTGGACAACCTCTGATTCAGTGGATAATAATTCACAATCAGAAATAAATACTTTATTCAGCTAGATTGTGGAATACCTAAGGTATTTTCAAGAAGATGTTCAGTGTATTTATGTAAATAGAAAAGAATATGTAAGCTTCATCTATGTTTTCTGCCAAAAACATTTGTTGTCCTGTAGCTTAGCTCCTAAATATTGAGGGTTGAATAAAACCCTGCCAGTTAAAGGATAAGCCTGATAAAGATTAGATAAATAAATATTGGTGAAAAATCTCCGTATTATAAAAGAAATCAGATTAGAAATTTTCACCGTGGAATTTCTTTATTACCAAATTTGAAAAATCAATTATATATGTTTTTAAAGATTTATTTATTTGAGAGAGAGAGAGAATGAGAGACAGTGTGCCAGGAGGGGCAGAGGGAGAGGGAGAGAGAGAGAAGTAGACTAAGCTAAGTCTGCAGCCAGGTGCGGGACTCGATCTCACGACCCTGAGATCACCACCTGAGCCGAAATCAAGAGTCGGACGCTTAACCAGCTGAGCCACCCAGGCGCCCCCTAGTTTTAATGATATCATGCAAAGGTCGTAGCACAGAACTTGAGTTATAAAATGGATGCAAACGTTCAGTATATCTCTAGGGAAAATTCTGTTGTTAATAAGATTTGAAAATTTGTTGGTGACATAATTGAGCATCGGTAAAAATATGGCATTTCAAATGTTCTGAATTCCCTCTGAATAAAGTTACTTTTTTTTTGCTTCAGAGAATTCTTGTCACTCCTCTGTGGCCCAAATGTAATGGTTGTGTGTCCTCCCCCCCCCCCGCCCCCCGCCCCGGTTTTCCATAGGTTCATTCCGGAGCCCTGGTCAGCCTGCAGCACCACATGCGGGCCGGGCGTCCAGGTCCGAGAGGTGAAGTGTCGCGTGCTCCTCACGTTCACGCAGACGGAGACCGAGCTGCCTGAGGAAGAGTGTGAAGGCCCTGAGCTGCCCACCGAGCGGCCTTGCCTTCTCAAGCCATGCAGCGAGGGCCCTGCCTCCCGCGAGCTGGACGTCTCTCTCCAGGAGGACAGCAGGATGATTTACCACTGGGAGTATGCTGGGTTCACCCCTTGCACGGCCACATGCCTGGGAGGTACTTGATTCTAGCTCGGGGACAGTCTCATCTTGTGCTGCTAATGGTTTGAGAAATCATTAAATCATTCAAGCCAAATACACAAGTTAGAAAAGTCTAAAGGAGGTGACATCATTTGGATAACTGAAAACCTTGCCATTTCTTTCTTTCTTGTCCATTATGATTATTTTCTAGGAAGATAAAGGATAGTGGGATAATATCATGGCCAAAAAAGTTAGTACATTCCTTTGGCCTAGCATCTGAATAAATGAGATGGGGAAAGAGGCCGCTGAGTAATATGGAATAAATAGGAAAACGCAGAACGGGTAAGTCGAGGCAGTCTTGCCCATAAATCAGTGTTACAAAGTGCGATTATCTGATGGCACTCTGTCAAGAGTCATCCTCAGAATAAAGTCAGGCTCATACCCGCACGTTGGGCCAGAACACACTGATGACTACAGTTTACGTGTATACATGTGGAGTCACGTGCATAGGCAGTGGACCTGTTAGGATTAGGAAGTGTGCTAATATGGTCAGGGGGCCTCAGTAGGGTAGAAGTTGGCCCCAGGATTATTAACCATTCCGGAATCCAAAAGGGAGTGGATGAGTAGAGAGCTGGAGTCCAGATAGTCATTCTCCAGGGCTCTCTTTTTTGGAAGGAAATAGAAATAATTGGAAAGCTAGATCTTCTGCTGATGTGAAGGGGGCTCATCCGATCAGGACTCCAGGACTCCTGACACCCTACCCATGGACTCCGGTGGTTGTGGCAAAACTTGGTGACTAAATGTGTGCTGACTTCCGTCCCAGACAACGGTGGGAAGAATACAAGGAGCTGCTGCCTTAGAACGCAGTTGGGTCAAGTGCATGCTCCACTCCTCTTGGTGGTCCTGAGCCCAGTACTTGGACCTCCCTATCCGGTCTTGGAGCTCAAGGTCCCATCACTGTGCCTGAGCCCCTCACCCTTTGTCCCCCAGGCTCTTAAGTAAATTCCCAGTCCTTCCCATCTGGTCTCCAAGACCTGATGGTATTTGTCTTTCTCCTGTCCTAATTCAACCTTGAGACGCCCCTGTCCTGACACAGGCGCCTGTTCTCTAACATTGCCGGCCTGCAGTTGACCCAGGTGGAGTGACATATGCTTTACCCCAGGCTTCAGCAAAGCAACTGCTGCCTTTCATATGGACTTATGCACCTAGAATTTAAGAAAAGAACCCTAACCTACTCCCGCATTCTCTCTGCTCTCTTACTTGCTTCACCCTGGTTTTTAGAAGCCTACCCAGCTAGCCAGGAATTTAGATTGTCTTATTCCCTAGGACCCTAATTTGCTGCCAGGGTGCATAATCTCAGCTGCACCTGTGCTGCGGCCCGGAACTTCACTCCTGTGCCCTCTGAGTTCAGGACCCTGGACACTGCCCATGTTGTAGCTTGGAAACCTGAATTTTTTTTTTTGAATTAAAATTCAATTAATGGACGGGGTAGCCAGGTGATGGGTATTAAGGAGGGCACGTGTTGTGTTGAGCGCTGGGTGTTATACACAACTAATGAATCGTTGGACACTACATCAAAAACCAATGATGTACTATATGGTGGCTAGCTGAACATAATAAAAATAAATAAATAAATAAAATTCAATTAATTAGCATATATTGTATTATTAGTTTTAGAGGTGGAGTTTCGTGTTTGATCAGTTGCATTAACACCCAGTGCTCATCCATCACGGGCCCTCCTTAATGCCCATCGCCCAGTTACCCCATCCCTCCTACCCCCCTCCCCTCCAGCAACCCTCAGTTTGTTTCCTAGAGTTAAGAGTCTCTTATGGTTTGTCTCTCTCTCTGATTTCATCTTGTTTTATTTTTCCCTCCCTTCCCCTTTTGACATGCCCTTGGCGATAACAGAAACTGGTACTTTCTTGATGATTCTGGAGAATCCCTCTAGAACTAGTTGCTGTGATGAGAAATGGTCCCCTATTCGACTGTGATTATAGATGTCTGGAACTTTCTACTACATTACTGTGAAATGTCAGCTGTCTGTACCACTTCTGAACTACTGCATTCCTGCAGTTTCACCAGAAGCCTGGAGCTTTGTCTTTTATTATGAGAGCAGAAACAAATCCTACTATTGCTTGTACATCCTCAAATCTGTTAATCTCAAGCTTTTTTTTTTTTTTTTAAAGATTTTTTATTTATTTTAGATAGAGTGAGAGAGAGAGAGAGATCATGGGAGAGGGGCAGAGGGAGAGAATCTCAAGCAGACTCTGAACTGAGCACAGAGCCCGATGCAGACCTTGACCTCACATCCTGAGATCACGACCTGAGCCAAAATCAAGAGTCAGACACTTAACCGAGTCACCCAAGCACCCCTCAAGCTTTTGAATGTTGACTTTGGTGGAATTGCTATTTTGTCTAGTACTCTGTCATCCTTGATTTTAGTTCTTTCCCTGACTGGAAAATTCCCCCTCAATTTGGGAAAACATGACATGTTGGGTCCTTGGAACTAACAGAGCAGTTGGAGTTGCCCAAGGAAAGATGACCAGGTTAATTCTGATTCAGTTGGCAGAGTCTAATAGACCTCATCTTTGAAGTTTGATGTCAAAAATGTTAGAATCTGCTATTGTATTGTGTACCAAGGTGGCCCTAGAGTCCACCTCCAGAATAGCTGAACCCATGGGAATGACTTTCTTTTTCTTTTTTTTTTTTTTGGTAATAGCTTTATTGAAAGGTAATTCACATACCATACAATTTATGTATTTGAACTATACACTTTGGTGGATTTTAGTATATTCACAAAGTTGTGCAGCCATCATCACAATCAATGTTAGAACACTTACCCGCCAAAGAATCCTGTACCCTTAAGCAGTCATTCCCCATTTTTCCTCAAACCTCCATTTTCCCAACCAGTGGCAGCCCCTGGCAGCCCACTAATCTACTTTCTGTCTATTCTGGCCATTTCATATAAATGGAATCACATAATAGGTGGTCCTTTGTCACTGTCTTCTTTCACTTAGTGTAATGTTTCCAGTTGAAGTTTATCCATGGTGTAGCATGAATCAGTACTTCATTCCTTTTTATGTTGAATACTATTCCATTGTATGGATATACCGCATTTTATTTATCCATTCATCAGTTGGAAGTTGGGATTATTTGCATGTGTTAGGTGTTGTGAATAGTACTGCTATGATCATTCAGGTGTTATATTTTTATATGGGCATATTTTTTCATTTCTCTTGGGTATCTACCTCGGAGTAGTAGAATGAGTTTTTAATCCATTTAAAACATACAAGTTTTGTGAAACTTGGCTAATTGAGTTTATCCTTATTGGCGTTGTGGCCCTTTGGGTGTGCTGTGAGAAGGGGAACTGCCTTGAACATGTCAGAAGTGCAATTCACCATTCAGATGGTTGATGGGAAGGTGCCCATTTATTTTCTGACATCCTCTTGTGAATCTGGAACCCATTTTACAAATTTTAACTGAGATCAACTTGGAAATCTTTCAGTACCAAGTTAAACAGCAATTTAGCCTTGTGAAGGTGTATTATTATATTGTTTAATCCTAGAATAATATCATTTAAATGAACCTTGGATATCCATGAACCCAAATTTTACAGTTAGGGAAACTGAGGCCCAGAGGCTGTCACACAGTCCAAAACAAAATAATTCTCACCCTTTAGAGAGGGTTGGTTGAAGTGCATACAATAAGCTTTCTAACTTGGCAGAAAGTAATGTTTTTAACTTTGTGGGCTCAAGCTTAAATTTTCCTTTTAAATAGATCACTAAATTCTGTAAAACTGAAGGCCTAACGCTTGAAACCAAAATCCTCTATAAAGGCAGGGAACTGCATGTCTGCTCTGTGCTAGACTCCATGGCTCTGGATTCTGAGCTCAGTATTAGGATATAAAATGAATAGGACACCATCCTTGACTTGGTGGACCACAGCTTTGGTTATTCGCCTTTCCTGTCTTAATGGTACTACTTACATGCAGGGATACTTGCCTCTCTGTGATCCATTTTAATGTGCTTTTGGAGGCTCAGCCTCTATGAGTCCACTTATGTGTAGTTATGAATGTCGGTTTTAACCCTCACCCTGGTCTGCTGTAACTGAATACCACAGGAAAATAGAATTTCCCCAGGCACCTAGTTATTTCCCCAACATTCCTGTTTCTGATAGAAAAATAGTATATACAAATTACAGATTTCTGAAAAGATAAACCTTTGGTCGTGCCCTGATAATCTGTGTACTTGTATCTTCTAACTTATCTTCACATCATACAGAAAATCAAAATAAATCTATTCGTTGTAATGGCTGATACTTGAGAACCTTTCCTAGGTCTGCTTTCATACTGGAGTGGCAACAGAGAATTCTTTTTTAATTCCCGAAAGCATGAAGAATGCAGACATATTGAATTTCCAGCTTCCAGGGGGCACGTGTGTGCACGTGCATGTGTATGCCTGTACACACAGACATCCTGGAAGATATCCTTACCTTTCCAAGACCCCCTGCTAAGGTTCTGTAATTTACTGCATCCTAAACAGTCCTCACCGGAGTTTCTTTGTATTTTATGTTATTTGTTGCACTTACGACCTTTCATTTTTACCTTGGTATTTTCTAGTAGCACAAGCTAGTAGCAGATGCGTGGATTTTGAAGGCTGACCGCACTTTGAACCCTAGCTCTGCCGCTCTCTTCACTCTCTTCGGGCCACTTATATAAGTTTGTGGGGGCTCATTTTTGTCAAATGAGAAGAGCCATCCCTACTTCATGAGGGTCAACGGAAGGATCGAATGTGCTTATTTAACAAGATGATGTAGGAGAAGTGCTTAATCACAGTGCTTGGCACGTGGTCTATAATAAGTGTTAGTGGGATGATTATTTTATCATAGAATAATAATAGGGTGTTCTTCTTATAATGCTCCCATTTTTTCTCTTTTAAAAATTTGATTTTCTGAGCCCCTTAAAACATCTACTCATTTTTAAGTCCATTCTTACGAATTCTCTAAGTAAAATAATCATCTATAATTAATGATGGTTTC